ACATTTTGGTTTAAACCAATTTAGCGATAAACTGATTGATCTTCATTAGAAGGCGTTTTTAGGAGCTATCGTGAATCATTCCCAAGTTAGCGACAGTTCCTCGACTGAACTTGTATGGAAACATACATGAATATTCAACCTTTTTTCTACGTATACAATAACCGTCGCCAATGCTATTCGTACCTAAAGGCTAGGGCCTATACTTTCAAAAAAAGTTAAGAGATCTTAAGTTCACCAGCCAATCATTGACGGCCTTTCAAGCAAAATCCACCAATCACAGACAAGAAAATAGAGCGTAAGTTCTTACGTTCACTTAGCGAATTTTGAAAGTATGGCCCCTGGAAGTGAGTGTTCCGTCAGTACACAAAGTGTATGAGACTTTCCCTCAAGCGCTACCCTCTGGCAGCGGCCGCCGCTGCTGAAATTATGCAATTTAATAATTACTAGTCGAGAGCGTTCAGGCAGCATTGCCCATCCATCCACAGGCGTGGCTCGTGAAAAAATTGAATGCAAAAACTCGTCCTCCGGAAATGAAGGCACGTGCTTGGAGTGAAAGAGCGTGCGGTAATGGTTGTACAAACCAAGCAGAAGTGGAGGAGGGGTTGGCGCCACATTTCCGGAAGAGGGGAGAAGGATGGCGGGGGATGGAATTAAGATCATCAGTCAAAGTTAACGGACCGTTGAAAGGATATCAGACTTGAAGGAGGCCATGGAGGCCTACCCACGCAAGAACACGCAACCAAAACGGCTCCGTTACGAGTATTGGCAGCCCGACTGGGCATGTACTGCTTGTTAATAGGGAACTTGGCCAATTGTCTTGTGATGTTAAGGACGATTGAAGCTTTTCGACGACTAGCCTTACTTCCAACATACGTCTCCGACATTACTGCTTTGAAATAAATCTTATATGTGCCTGAACACATCGGGAATGAATTGAGATGTCGGAACACACAATTAGGTGCAGGGCCGTGATGTGTTCTACATAATTAGGCGTGTTCTATATCATTAGCAACAAAAACCCTAGGCCTCATTACTTAACGCCAATATATGACGTGTGTGCTACCAGCTGGACGTAAGCTTGTTTGTTCTCTCTATCCTGTTACTCTCATTATTCTCATTAGCCCTACGCGTTTATTGATCTCAACGCCCTCTCATTAACCCGTTAGGTACGAATTAACAAACATTGGTATTTTCGTACGTAATTTCCCAGCGACGAGAGTTGTTGTCTGTAGGTTATGGGTTATCTCTTTGTCCACTGATATGCTAATGATTCGTCCTCGTTCAGTGCTATATGAGTCATTTATATTTGATTCATTATTCAACCATTATGCATTAAAATAATGACAAAATTACCTCTCATGACCGATAAAAAACACTAACGGGTATTTAAATGTATCGCTTCTATTCTATAGTATTCGTTTGCAAATCCGTATACTCTGCTCGTAGAATAATTCTTAAAGAACCTAAAAACCAATTATCGGTAAATAAATTGACGGTGAAAGCGATTATGTAGGATAAGTACTGACAGACGCCTAACCTAAAATGCGTCGTCCTGTTCCCTCGAAAAAATGTTATTTATTATATTCGTTGTGATGGTAATATCGTATCAACACAATATATACGAGCTGTGTGGCGGTAACTAAAATAACTGAGACGTGAGGTTTTATAGAAGTCATGTAACTTTTGTGTTTCGTTATCACGAGTATCGCAGGCACGCACTATATTAATGTCACCGAGCCCGGTGTCGCAAAGGGCCCTGACCTTCGTTTTAAATATTCAACGAACTCTAATATTATTGTCATATCCTATCCTATTCCTCTATCCCTCCTCCGCCTGCTCCTCTGTTTTCTCTTCCACCTCCTCCTTTCTGTCCCGTAATGTCCCCATTCTCAACCCCCTTTCTGTCCCGTAATGCCCCCATTCCACGCACCCTTTCTGTCCCGTAACTTCCCNTGCTGCTGTTGTTGTCGTAGCTGTTTTCCTGTTGTTGCTCTCACTCCGCTTATTGATGATGCTGTTGTTGCTGCTGTTGTTGTCGTAGCTGTTTTCCTGTTGTTGCTCTCACTCCGCTTATTGATGATGCTGTTGTTGCTGCTGTTGTTGTCGTAGTTGTTTTCCTGTTGTTGCTCTCACTCCGCTTATTGATGATGCTGTTGTTGCTGCTGTTGTTGTCGTAGCTGTTTTCCTGTTGTTGCGATCACTCCGCTTATTGATTCTCAAGCATCGATTGGCGTCTCTGAGCGAGCCTCCCGAGCCGCTTGCTGATGAAAACTGCCTACATGATGAGTGCATGATGAGTATGTGCTGGTGAGTGCATGATAGTGAGTGCATGATGAGTACATGATGAGCATGTGCTGGTGAGTACATGATAGTGAGTACATGATGAGTGCATGATGAGTGTGTGCTGGTGAGTACATGATCTGTCTCTTATACACATCTAGATGTGTATAAGAGACAGACATGACACCGTGTACATGATGCTGGCCACCTGACACCGTGTACATGATGCTGATAGCATGATGAGCACAAAGCAACCCTATTTATCAGGACGCTAATTAAAGCCCTCATTATGAGGGCGAGGACACACGCTCCCTCACGCGCTCCGACTCGTCCGTGCCAATTACCGACTTTTTCTGCGGATTTCGGTTGGATATTTCAGAAAAGGTCGTCATTTTTGGTCATTAGCTGCGCAGAGGCGTTATGTTGCCGTCAGCGCTGCTTTGTCCGCACTTTTTGTCAAACTTGCCGGCGTTCAACACAAAAGTTTTCAACTTTACGCTAAGTTTGCGGCGTAATTGTGAAGAGAAGTTGAGTAGAAATGCGACGACTGCCACTATGGACTCGAGGTGACGCCAGCGATAATTCAATGAAGAGACCCGGGACCCCTGGGGCAGACTTGGGACGTCTGTCTCTGACAGACGGCACGTCTCTGACAGACGGCATGTCTCTGACAGACAGACGGCACGTCTCTGACAGACAGACGGCACGTCTCTGACAGACAGACGGCGTGTCTCTGACAGACAGACGGCACGTCTCTGACAGACAGACGGCATGTCTTTAACAGACAGACGGCACCTCAATGACAGAAGACGGCGTGTCTCTGACAGACAGACGGCGTGTCTCTGACAGACAGACGGCACGTCTCTGACAGACAGACGGCATGTCTCTGACAGACAGACGGCATGTCTCTGACAGACAGACAGCACGTCTATGACAGGCAGACGGCGTGTCTCTGATAGAGACGGCACGTCTCTGACAGACAGATGGCGCGTCTCTGACAGACAGACGGCACGTCTCTGACAGACAGACGGCATGTCTCTGACAGGCAGACGGCATGTCTCTGACAGAGACGACACGTCTCTGACAGACAGATGGCGCGTCTCTGACAGACAGACGGCACGTCTCTGACAGACAGAAGGCGTGTCTCTGACAGACGGCACGTCTCTGATAGACAGACGGCACGTCTCTGACAGGCAGACGGCATGTCTCTGACAGACAGACAGCACGTCTCTGACAGACAGACGGCACGTCTCTGACAGACAGACGGCACGTCTCTGACAGACAGACGGCACGTCTCTGACAGACAGACGGCACGTCTCTGACAGGCAGACGGCATGTCTCTGACAGACAGACGGCATGTCTCTGACAGACAGACGTCACGTCTCTGACAGACAGACGGCACGTCACTGACAGACAGACAGCATGTTCCTGACAGACAGACGGCACGTCTCTGACAGATAGACGGCACGTCTCTGACAGTCAGACGGTACGTCACTGACAGACAGACAGCATGTCTCTGACAGACAGACAGCACGCCTCTGGTCTCTGACAGACAGACGGCACATCTATGACAGACAGACGGCACGTCTCTGACAGACAGCACGTACGTCTCTGACAGACAGACGGCACGTCTCTGTCAGACAGACGGCACGTCTCTGCCTGACAGACGGCACCTCTCTGCCAGACAGACGTCACGTCTCTGCCAGACAGACGGCACGTCTCTGCTAGACAGACGGCACGTCTCTGCCAGGCAGACGGCACCTCTCTGCCAGACAGACGGCACCTCTCTGCCAGACAGACGGCACGTCTCTGACAGACAGACGGCACGTCTCTGACAGACAGACGGCATGTCTTTAACAGACAGACGGCACCTCTACGACAGACAGACGGCACGTCTCTGACAGACAGACGGCGTGTCTTTGACAGACAGACGGCACGTCTCTGACAGACAGACGGCACCTCTACGACAGACAGACGGCACGTCTCTGACAGACAGACGGCGTGTCTTTGACAGACAGACGGCACGTCTCTGACAGACAGACGGCACGTCTCTGACAGACAGACGGCATGTCTTTGACAGACAGACGGCACCTCAATGACAGACAGACGGCACGTCTCTGACAGACAGACGGCGTGTCTCTGGCAGACAGACGGCACGTCTCTGACAGACAGACGGCGTATCTCTGACAGACAGACGGCATGTCTCTGACAGACTGACGGCAAGCTTGTGAAGGCATAGAAATCCTGTCTAGGTATACTTGTCTGTAGGACGTCTACTTCTGTCATGTGCAGCACATGCTTCAGTGCCATGGGGCACTGAAGCATGAAAATTTTTATTTTTTGATCAAGAAATAATTATTTTCTTCAAAGACTAATGATAAATTCACTTACACTGATGCACATTAATGATCACTTCTACTGATGCATATCAATTACAGTATACCTCAACTAACGCTAGTCAAAGTTCAAGCTTAGAAAGATAAATCTTGTTATTTATCGAGGTCTGCAGTTTAAATGATTAATGATTCATGAAAATTTTGGTCTGAGCTGTCTTGCCCCTCTCTAATATTTCGTGACCAAGTCCTCCACTCTGCCTTCCCACTCTCCTACTCGAGCTCTCATCTGTGCATCTCTTAATGCCCCTCTCAGTGCACCTCTCAGTGCCCTCTTAACGCCCCTCTCAGTGCCCCTCTCAGAGCCCCTCTTAACGCCCCTCTCAGTGCCCCTCTCAGTGCCCTCTTAACGCCCCTCTCAGTGCCCCTCTCAATGCCCCTCTGAACGCCCTTCTCAGAACCCCTCATAGTGCACCTCTCAGTGAACCGCACAGAGCACCTCTCAATGCCCCCCTCAGTGCCCCTCTGAACGCCCCTCTCAGTGCCCCTCACTGAGCACCTCTTAGTGCCCCTCACAGATCACCTCTCAATGCCCCCCTCAATGCACTTCTCAGCGAACCTCAGAAAGACCCTTCAAATACACCTCCCGCCCCCTGCCAGCACTCGACAGCACAGTGTTTATTATGCAGCGCATGAGCTTCTAACAGGCCAAACTTTGCAGCACGGACAGTCCTTCTAATTCCGCCTACTTCACAGTCCCGGCCAACTGCTAAAGTCTACGGTGTTTTGCGCCGAGCTTCGGCAACGTGCGCGCTGCGTGTCCAACTTGTCGTACAACTGCCGCTTCTTTCACGGCTGAACTTTTTTGTTCAAACTTATAAGAGATGAAAGTATTATTTACTCAGGGGTGGGAATGGCAAGTGACGGCAGCGTTTTCTAAAGTTAATAATCGACAAAGGTGGACGCGAAATTCGGATCCGCAGTTATTCCGAATAATTAATTGCATGATCAATGCAAATAAAACAATATTACATATAATTTTAACACATCAGCAGTTGAAGCGGAATACGGGTATCATTAGCATTTAAATGAGCGGATGTTTAACTATTGTCCGTTTATCAAGTCTGAATTGAACGTGTTCTATATCCCTTTGAATGAACGAACATGTCTTAATGTGAAGAGATTTACGGGCTTCAAAGTATTTTAATATGACTGTTAGTTTCACCTGTTTAAACCTGCCACTATACCCACGACAAGGTTACACCAGCAGCAACACCGGGTGTTGTGTTATACCAGCAGCAACACCAGGTGTTATGTTACACTAGCAGCAACACCAGGTGTTAAGATTACATCAGCAGCAACACCAGGTGTTGAAGCAGCAACACCAGCTGTTGTGATTACACTAGCAGCAACACCAGCTGTTGTGATAACACCAGCAGCAACACCAGGTGTTGAGATTACACCAGCAGTCGCCCCAGATGTTTAAGTTACACCAGCAGCAACACCAGGTGTAGAGATTATACCAGTAGTCTCCCCAGATGTTTAAGTTACACCAGCAGCAACACCAGGTGTTGAGATTCCCCTAGCAGCAACACCAGGTGTTGAGATTCCCCTAGCAGCAACACCAGGTGTTGAGATTACACCAGCAGTCGCCCCAGATGTTTAAGTTACACCAGCAGCAACACCAGGTGTTGAGATTACACCAGCAGTCGCCCCAGATGTTTAAGTTACACCAGCAGCAACACCAGGTGTTGAGATTATACCAGAAGTCACCCCGGATGTTTAAGTTACACCAGCAGCAACACCATTATAGTCCCAGTCCCTACGCCGCAGGATTACGCGCAAATTGCAACGAATGCGACAGGCAATGCGTAACGCGCCCGCCGGGATGAATGCGTAAGAACTTTACGCATTGCAATTAACGCGAGGGTCGTTCCAGCCGCCGCAATGCGCTCAACTTCGCGCGTGACAAAGGGCAGTTCAACTTCAACTTAAACTTGCGTTTAACTCTAATTCCACGTGCGTTCACGCAACTTAAAGGCATTGTTTGTTCAACTTCAACTTGAAGCTGCGTTCAAAGGAAAACCCACGTGCATTTACACAATTTCAACCTATCACTCGTTCAACTTGAACTTACTTCAACCTGTTGTGTGTTAAACCGCAAAGGACAACATCCTTGCTTGGTCGAAACCAAGAAACGACGAGATCATTTAAAATTAGTTAAATAACATGACAGTAGTTGAGAGATAGTCCTGTGATAACGACTCAACAAATAAAATTGGCTAAGAAATAGTTTGCAACAAATCATCAGTATATTCAGTCACTGATAAGGTGCAGAGAATCTATTATGGGGAATAAATCAGGGGAGGATATCGACCCCTGGGGGTTGTAAGCAAAACTAAAGGGGTCGATACATTTATGGGGATGTGAGAAGGCTCTATGAATGTAAATAAAAACGATCAATTCGACTTTCTAAAACCGTTACTACCAATGCATCTCAGTGAAAATTTTTAAATTTGGTGTAATTTCAGTCTAGAAGATAAATACTATAATTTCTCATAATTCAATACAAATATCGTACTATCGTTGACAGCTGCGTAGGGGGAGTGCCGCTGACACTCAGGGGGAACAGCAGGCTGTGTTGCTGCGTAGGGGGATTACCGCTGACACTCAGGGGGAACAGGAGGCTGTGTTGCTGCGTAGGGGGAAACTCAGAGGGAACAGCAGGCTGTGGTGCTGCGTAGGAGGAGTGCCGCTGACACTCAGGGGGAACAGCAGGCTGTGGTGCTGCGTAGGGGGAGTGCCGCTGACACTCAGGGGGAACAGGAGGCTGTGTTGCTGCGTAGGGAGAGTGCCACTGACACTCAGGGGGAAGCAGGGGGAACAGGAGGCGTAACTAAGCGACGTTTCCATGGCAGCTGGGGGGGTAGTGGGGGTGAGGATGAAGGGGGTGGGATGAAGAGGAAGTGGGGAAGTGAAGGATTCATAAAGAATGTGCGATGAAGGATCAGATGTGAAGAGAGAATTTGCCGGACCACATCGCTGTCTGGACGTGTGGCATCCTTCCTTCGTAGTGAAGTGACTAATAAATTACCTTTTTAAACAGCCCTTCCATCAGCATTATGTTCAATGTTCAAAATGGGAGATGTTTTAGGGTCTTTCTTTGAGCTTCAATCCATATAAAAAAGTTAATACGTTTAGGCCAGCATGGGGCTGAAGCCAATTTACCATTGTTCTTATCATATTGTATTCTCTTTTCTTATCATATTATATATAGGCAGTTTATTAATACCGCTCATATAATTATTTGACTTCTTTTCATTGTAAAAATCATTATCATTTATAAAGAATAATCGTTATTTTGGTTCTTGTTCTTAGGCCGTCGCTCCGATGATTTGACAATTAAGCTCCTGAATTTTCTAAGAGTGTCCGCCTATAATAGCCGTTCTTGATTCATGCAACACTATACCCTATTAATCTCTTTAATTACTAGGATTAATAGATCATTAAACTCAGTGATCCAATAAAATCGACGAAGTCGAATGACAGAAATGTACACTACACCGAATATAACTTCTAATCAGGCACAAAAATACCCATTTTAATTTTGCCTATGCTAAAATGCTGCGTATTTATTCTAATGAAGAAGAATGGCTGGACATGAGCGCTTTTACTAACCCTGCGTTGCCCATTAAGCGCTGACACCCCTATTATAAATTACAGTCGCGCACGCGATGGCCGCCCATATGCCGGCCATGAGCTGGCAAGGACCGTGCGAGGCTTCTAATGTTCGCTGAATATTTGCTTTTGTGCGCTTCATTTGCGGCGCCGTTCATTCAATCACGGAAACAAAAGCCCCTCCTTCCCCATGACATCCCCTCGTTCCCCATGACATTCCCTACTTCACCGTGGGATCCCCTCTTTTCCCGTGACATCTCCTGCCTCCCCCGTGACCTCCGCACCTTTCCCGTGACCTCCCCCCCTTCCCCGTGACTCCCCCACCTTCCCCGTGACTCCTCTACCTTCCCCGTGTTCTCCCTTGCTTTCCCCCTGACCTCCCATCCTTCCCCATGACGTATCCCACTCCCCCGTGACCTTCATTTCTTCCCGTGATCTCTCCCCACACCCTTGACCTCTTTCCCCATGCTATCTCTTTTTTCATGAGGCTCCCTTATTCCCCTACTTGTTCCTTACTTCACTATTAGGTTCCCCTCTCCCTACCACTGTCCACTCTTCCCAGGGGTGTTTTTTCTTCCCCTCGTCGTCATTTTCACCATTGCGAGGGACGGCGCTGCAAGGGTGACAATAGACGCTAATTCAGCGCCCCGCTGAACTACAGAAAAATTCCCCAATTAACCCCGCAAAGTTGTCTACTTTGCATGCATCCCGCAACCTCCTTCCTAGGGGAAACATGTGGGGTTATATATGCAAGGGGGAGTAATTGAGTGAGGGATTCATTGGTAAGAAATACAATCAATTCAATCGAAGATGGGGTGGAGGGGAGTTAGAGGGACGTGAGGCTACGAAAATGGGCGGTGGGGAAGATCGTAATGCTTCGGCGTCATTGAATAGTTTCCCCTCAGATGGGGAGTGAAAAGTCGCAGTGTTTTGACCCTCTGACTACTGCTGCACTGCCACCTGCACTTCCAACTGCTAAGTTAGCAGCTGTATCATTGCCTGCTAAGTTAGCAGCTGTATCATTGCCAGCTAAGTTAGCAGCTGTATCATTGCCTGCTTAATTAGTTAACAGCTGTATCATTGCCTGCTAAGTTAGCAGCTGTTGTCGCCGTGAGTGCAGCTGTATTGAAGCAAGTAATCTCGGCTGAGTGCTGCAGCTCTAAGACGCTAAGCTGATATGCTGTCACAGCACAAACAGATCCATTAGCTGTGCAGTACAGTCCATCTCTCAGCTGTACAATTCTGCTCATTGCTCTGCTATGCTACTGTATGTATCTCATCATCCCTCAGCCACGCAGCTGAGAGTTACTCAAGTGTGTCTATGCCCTGGGAGTGCGTTTGTAACTCTGAATTGCCCAGGCCAAAGGCAAAGGAGGCAACATGAAGAGGTCCTACAGATTGGTTGTAATAGAGAGGCAAATTTTCACTTCTCAGGCCACGTTTCAAGAAGCCTTTGATGTAACACTCCAGCGCTACCAGTCATTCACAGCGTATTTTGATGGTAACACTCCAGCGCTACCTGTTAATCACAACGCGCGTTGATGGTAACACTCCAGCACCACCAGTCAATCAGCCCCATTTTGATGGTAATACGCCAGCGTTGCCAGCCAATCACAGCGTATTTTCATGATGATACGCCAGCGTTGCCAGCCAATCACAGCGTATTTTGATGGTAATACGCCAGTGCTGTTGCCTAACTATAGCGCAGACCTATACCTCTGCTCTTCGTTGACGGGCAGTTGATGGACTGCGTTGATGTGCTGGTCACCAGCTACATACCCTATCGAATGCAGGGATTATTCATCGCCAGCCAAACTCATCCTTGCATTGATCTTTGATCAGCTCTTCAAAATTTTCATGTAAATGTTGTATATTCG